AATCTACCTATTCCTACTTCTATTTACATGCTACAAATATTAACTATGAATACACAAAAACACCTTCACACATGAAGAATTGCATTCATGTAAATCTTAGAAAACATCTACTAATTTAATGAATACTGATACACAATTTTCATGATCCATGACTAAAGTTCAATATTAAGAAATACACCTCAAAAAGCTGGGTACCAGTGGATCATCCCTGAAATCCTAGCTACTCAGGAAGCTAGCATCTGAGGACCATGTTTGAAGTCTGTCTTGGCAGAAAAGTCTGTGAGACCCTTATCTCCAAGTAATCACCAAAAACAAAAACAGAAAGCTGGAAGTGGAGCTGTAGCTCAAATACTAGAGCACTAGCCTAAGCAAAAGCAGCTCAGGGACTTTGCCCAGGCCCTAATTTCAAGACACAGGACCAGCACAAAAATAAAACAAACAAACCAAAAAAGACAACTAAGGACATCTGTTTCTAAAAGAAGCATTGAAAGATTTTTTCAGCAGTATATTTTAATGAGTACCTTTTTCTATGTATTTTAATAAATACAATTCAACAATTGTCCCAAATTAGATTTCATTTCCATCTTTTATTTCTAAAAAAAATTATTTCCAATTCCTTTAAAGGTATTCAGTGTGCGCAACAGTTTTATCAAGCAACATTTTCTCCAACATCTCCATCTGCTGGCTTAGAGAAAGAGTAGATTTTTATTTGCTGACTCTAAATTTAATACTTCTAGGATTTATTTTTGTTATGTTGTGGAATTTAAATATAAAATAATTAAATTAATGTTAGCTTAGGGAAACAACTGTTTGCCAAAATTACTTCTCAAAATAGAAAGATTGTGAAGACTGTCAATATTTCCTGTTAAAAATCCTATGAGATCAGAGATCATGCTTATAATCCTTTTAGACAATTTTATTCCTAAAAGCTCTTTGTAATTGCATTGCATAACATTTTACTAAAATTCTTTAGGATATGAAACACATCATTTTCCAGGAAAATAAAATCCCACTGTTGGTCTCGTTAGCAAACTATGGGGTGTATATGTAAAGATAATATCAGATGTATTATTTTTGTAAAATTCTGGGTTATTTTTTCAGTCACTGTAATAAATTATTTGTGTTTAATAGCTCCAGGAATTCATTTTCATCATTAAAATGAAGTTCTTAGACAAGACCTCAACTGTCAATTTGCTCTGCAGGCATGAAGGCCTCCAAGTAAGAACTATTAGCAAATAGAGGGGAAAGTGAATTAGCAAAAGTGAGTTACCATAGGAAAAGCATTCATCTTGTCTCTGACAGCCAGAAGCCCTTCAATAAATACATCTTGAATGAGTGACTGTCTTCTTGAAGCTCATTGCTAATATTAGCTGATGAGTAGAGATGTTACTCTCGATTTCCCTTCTGGTTTTATGCTTTATAGTTTCTTATAATGAGAACATATGATTGAACAATTATCAAAAATATAATATTAGCACTAATTCTAGCAAACATGAAAAGGATGAAGGGGAAAAGAAGCAAAGGGAGAGTGAAAGAGAAAAGAAGGAAAGAAAGAGATAAGAAACTGGTCTTCCCTCAGGTATCCATGGAAACAAAAGAGGAACAAATATTCATTATCTCACTGTGACTGTGAACAAGGTGTGGGAGCTGGGTGTAATGTACACCCAGTTGAGAATAGAACGACTTCATTTCATTTGCACAGCCTTAAGATATTCAGTAGATCTCCTTGGATCTTTAACTCAATGTCAAACTCAGTATTTCCAGAAAAGGAATAAAATTTAGTAAACCAATTATATCACCAAACTATAAAACCCCTTTTCTTACTACATAGAATTAATCCTATGGGATTTTTATTGCTCAGTTAAAGTAAAGAACAAGCTACCTTCTAAGAAATGAGTAATGGTACATGTTATTTAATAAGGAATTTGAGAAGAATGCCTTAGGTTTATAGAAGAAATGAAGGAAAAGATGCCTTGGTGTTAGCAGTTAAAATACTTAACACTATTGATCCCACTTAACACAGGAAAGAATCATAGTTTCCATGATTTAAAAGGAAGGATGAGAAAATAAAGAATATGCATTGAAGAAAAACCTTGAGGAGAATTTAAATGATAAAAACTCAACTTGATAAATTTGACATTAGAAATGTCATTCATTTCTTAACTGTTGACTTTCTAGTGGTCATAATTCAAGTAAACATCTCTCTTCTTTATCTCTCTTCTCTCTTCTCTTGCCCCCCAATAAAGAGAGTCAAACTAGTTAACTAGTTTCGTATTTTCTATTGTCTTTAAGTAAAAAAGAAGAAGTGAAGGAAAAAATATTCCATTTCACAGATTTAGCACGTCCTAGAAGAAATTGAAACACAAAATGTGAAGTGATTTTTCTAAATTAATGAAATAATATTAACTCTAGAAAATTCTGCTCAGAATCCCTCTTTTTGTAACCATGCCTCAGTAGTTGTCTGTAGCAGTGAGGTTGCTTCTAACATGGGGGCACAGTGCTAAGATTCTGAAAACCCATGTGGGCATCTTTGAAAAACATTGGGCTCCTCCAAGAGATTTTTTTTCTGTATTATTCTAGGACGGCAATCTGAGACATGTACAATTTTTATTTTAGGTTCACTTTTTGATAAAAAAAAAGTCTTTTCGAAATGAAGATGTGATAATCCCAGCTCCTCAGAACTATGATCAATTATATTAAAATGTTCAGCTGTTTTTAATGAAATTCACATATGCTTATCACACAGATTAATTCATTAGATGAAAACTCACAGGATTACACATGATTTTAATATAGGATACACTCTAGTTACATATCTTATTTCCATGAAATTTGCATAAAAATAAACCAGCTTGAAAAATGTTAAGACTAAATCCGAAATCTAGCAGCATAGCCTGTAGTCTTTGACCATGACATAATCCCAGTAATACCACATGTATTGGAATCAGGGAAGATTTATTTTGTGTGTGTATATGTTCTTTTCTCCATGAGTTTCTCTCCTCATTTTTTACCAATGAATAAACTCCTGTTCTTGACAGCTTTTCAAATCAAGCTATTCTTTTCACAAACTACAGCTGGCAACACTTGAAAAATCAATGTACTTCCTCTACTCATGATCGTTTTTATGATTCAGTTTTGCAAAGCATTATTACACTAGTGATCATATATAGATACTTCAGATAGTTTCGTGCCAAACTAGTAATTTAGAAGAAAGGGAAATTTCCTGATATTAAATGAAATTGGGTTTTGATAGGTATGCAGAGCAAGCATGGAAGTCTTTGAAATTTAATTAAAGCAATTTATTTTGTATTTACTTGGTATGCACTAAGATTTGTAGGGAGAAATGTAACCTTTTTAGAAAAATGCACTTTAAGAGCCTCTTTCTTCCTCTCTCTCGCTCTCTCTCTTACAAACATATACACACACACACACATAGTTTCATTATTCAGTTTCAACATTAAAAAAAAAAGCCATGACACTAAAATCTTCTTAAACTGGTCTTTCATAAACCACTGAAATGTAGTATCTAAAAGGACCACAGAAAGCTCCTTGTTCTGAGTCAATGGAATTGCTCCTTGTCATCCGTGTGCCAGTCAGTCGCACACAGAGGGATGCTTTCCTGGTCCCATCAAGCTACCCACGGGCTGCGTGCTTAGCGCTAAGCATGGGAAATGATGGCACCAGTTGTTTGTCCAATGTGGGACATGGCAGTTTGGCACCTCCTGTGGTAATTTTCCTCTAACTCCATCCAGTGCCCCAGAGTGGGAGGTGAGCCATATGAAAATCCTCCCCTAATTTTTTCTCTTAAATGAAAACTGCTGCGATCAGTTCAGGAGAGAATCACTCTAGCCCAGCAGCAGGAAATGGTGGCCACTGGATAACCAGGAGCCAGGCAGTGACTGCTGCACGGTCCACGCGGGCGGGGAAAAGGGCGCACGCCTTCCTGCTGAGCCCTTCCAGTTATCTAATCGCTTGATTTCTATTGCTTTATCAGACCTTTGACAGAGCTTCCTCCCTAGTTGTGGAACCTTCCTCGCAAGCAAAGGACTAACATGGAGAGCTGCAAGGACTAAAATGGCTGATCGATGACTTCAGATTGTAAACCTCGGCCTGTTGCAACTAAATTCGAGTCCTCTTGGGCTGCCTTTGCTGGACCCAGGCTACCTGAGTACCTCGCTTTTCTGGACCGCAAGCTGGCCGCGGCCGCCCCGGTGGAATGCCCTCCCTTCCCCCTTTCAACTTCAGCTTCACAGAGCCGGAGAGGCGGCCCGCGCACCAGCCACCTCCTCCCACCTCCTCCGGGTCCCCACCACCTCCAGCCACCCGCGGGCCTGGGCCTGCACAGCCTAGCTCGCTGCTGCGCCGCGCCCCTTGGTGGGCGTTATGTAACAGCCGGATTCCAATTCTGTGAACATTGTAACAACTTGTCTCCTCGACCAGGAGAATTGGCGGGGGCCGTGGCATGAGTTGGAGCAGAGGTAGAGCCTGAATCTCAGGCATCAGGGTTCCGGCAGTCCCTCCTGGGATCTGTCCAACAGCCCCACAGCGCGCCCTGGGGAACAACGTGTTCCCTGTTGGCAGGGTGCCAGCAGGCGCACAAAAGGGGAGGGCTAGGAGAGCCTTTGTGGGGCATTAAAGACCAGTGAGATATCCCCAAACCCAAAAAAGACGCCCAACTCCAGCCTCTCCCCAGCACCCTGGTGCACACACTCTTCAATGCCTAGGAACCCCTGTTTGTCTCCCCATCAGTCAGCGGGGGTCCCGGAGATTACAGCTGCCCTGGCACGCACCTCGAATGCAGCCACTCACACCCACACACCGACACACACACCGACACACACACACCGACACACACACACCGACACACCGACACACCGACACACCGACACACACACACACACACACACACACACACACACACACACACCAGCCCACACTGGAAATCGCTAGCTCTCCGCGTGCAGCCCCGGAGAGGAGAAACATGAATATTCATGACTTACAAGCATTGGTGACTGCGAAGCTGTTGGCTACCTCCAAATTGTCGATGTGAGGTGTCAGTCTGAACTCCGAAGTGGAAAACTGAACCATCCCTACGCGAAATGCACTGTATTCTTGGTCGGCGCCCCTCGGAAACAACCCCCCTGCAAAGAACAAACCAGCGAGAGAACCGAGTCAGTGGCTGGGAGAGAAAGCCTGAGCCCCCGGGACCCGGCAGCCCGGGTAGTGTCTAATTCATGTTAACAGGAAGAATAAACACATTCACGGGTGCGAACGAAAGGTAGCCATGGGGTCAAGACAGGAATAAGACTGAAGTTAAGGTAAGCAGTTGGGAAAGGTCATTCTCCTTTCCTTCCAATGTTAAGCTTTGCATTCTGACCCCTGGAGAATCCCTGCAAACTGGGAGACATCGGGGAGGCAGAAAGATTTAATACAATTTGGAGACCCAAAATGAAAAAAACCTTTTTCTTTATTGTATAAAAGACACAGTCGTTCCTCCTGTGCTTCATCCCAAGAAAATCATGTACATTCTAGGTAATTTAAATCTGGAATGCAGTCAAGGTATGACATAAGTCTACATGACATGAATTAATTTGTCCACTGTGAACAAAGATTACCACCAAATTATGCACAATTCAAAAGCAAAGCACAAAGGGTACCTACCTATCTGTATGCTGTTGGAAGAGACACCAAAAATCAGTCCCCATAAAACAGGAGAAAGGAGGACAGAAATATGCATAATCTTTTGCATTTCCAAGAAAAGTAGAGCATCCACAAAATACCCCCTCTTTTTTTTTTCTTTTCCTCCTCTTCCTTCTCTGGTCGTTTTTTTCAGTACATTAGATCCTCTGCATTTTGAGACAACAATTTAGCACCAAGCTGCTAAAAATCTGAAGTGGAGGCAGAAGAATGCCTATCTCCCAGGTCCTGCCGGTGGCTCGTGTTGCCCTGCGCCCTGTCCCCCGCTCCCGAAGTCCGGAGGATTGGCTGAATGCAGTTTTCGGTGGAGCTGTCGCTGTGGTCCCAGTGTCTCCGAATATTCAGCACCCTCCCATGCACTCACACACATTCACCCTCTCTCGCTCTCTCTTCTCCCTCTCTCCTCTCTCACACACGCGCGCGCGCGCACACACACACACACACACACATACACACTCACACACGCGCGCACAGAGCCAAGTCACCGAGAGGGGCCGGCAATCCCGGGCGCGCGTGCGCGGATGGTGACAGGCAGGGGGCGCGCTCTCTCTCCCACCCCTCCCCCGCACAGCGCCCGACACCCCGCACAGCCCCCGAGAAAGCGCTGCACCGAACCCTGAAGCCTGTGCTCCTAGGAGAGACTTCGGGTCTCCTGAAGCTGTCGCGCCCACCGAGCGCGCATCTGAATTTCAGCACCGAGGACAGCGCCTCGCTCCCGCCTGGAGCTACCACTGCATCTCTCTCTGCTGCAGCTGCTGAGATGCTCCAACCCCGACCAAATGCTGCAAAGCTGATTTCCGGCCGCTGGGCAGGAGAAGTCGACTTGCAGATTGTAGTTGGCGGTGGAGCGATTTCTGGGCAGGCCTTGCTGTTTTAGGTGAAAAGTAATTTTGCATTTTGTCCTCAATCTCTTATGAAAACTCAATCTAGAAATGCTGTCATCGCCTGACATGAAAAGCAAACAAGCAAATTAAATACCTATCCCAGTGAAGTGTCCCCATATTAGAAACTTTGGCTTCATGTGATGTAGTCACGATCCAGGGGCTGGAAGAACACTAACATTCTAACCCTGAAAGCCTCAATTTGTAGAGGAGAGTGTCCAGATCGAAATCCCATCCTTAAAGCGCATTCTGCTGGACTGTGATGCTCCCTTGCAGACCTTAACTGCCTGCTGATGGCTTTGGCAGCCTTCACTGAAGATTTCTTTACAGGTTGCTTATGGCAGTTTAAACTTAGCTCCTTCACTGGCCTTTTTTTATATGGCTTAAAAGAAAAGATAGGCTCTGGCCTTGGGTGGAAGCATGATCATATTATCATGTTCATATCAAATTCTTTAGAACTGAAATGAAAATATTTTTTTCCACCTTAGGACATTATACGCACATATGAGCATTACAGGTAGGTAGTTAGGTAGGTAGACAGACAGACAGACCGACAGACAGACAGACAGACCGACAGACAGACAGACAGACAGACAGACAGACAGACAGACAGACAGACAGACAGACAGACAGACAGACAGACAGATAGATAGATAGATAGATAGATAGATAGATAGATAGATAGATAGATAGAAAGATAGAAAGATAGATAGATAGATACAATAGAGAAACATGGCTTTTAGATACTTTTTTTTCTGTTGCTCTCCAAGTTGCTCATCAATCTATCCCTTGGAACCTGCTGTGGCAATTCTCTGCTGCTTCAGATATTCCCTCACTATATTGTGTGCCCTCTGTGGTTTTAAACCAAGAAATATAAGAGGACTCATTTCATGGAACTGTTTCCAAGGGCCTGAAGATTAAAGAAATACCACACAGAGAAGAATCTTCTAATAGTCCAAACTGTCACGAGAGTCATTTTATCATCTCACCTTCTTGTGGGACTGTAGCAGTAATATCACATCTGTCACTTTCCATGGAACAGATTAACTCACACTTGTGCTGTAGTCACACTAGGTCTCAATTGTCCCATTTGAAAAATGAGATAGGTTCAAAGTAGCTTTTGTTGTTCTTAAATCCTGCTCTGTGATTCTTAAATGATGACCCTTCATACATAGATATTTGTGAACCAGGAAATCAAAATATGTGTAATCTGTTAGTAAGTTTATATGTCATACTAGTTTTATCACCAACACTTTATTTCAGCTGCTTTATTTACACTGTAATTAAAGCAGATTATTTGAATCAGCAGACACTTAGCATTTTATAATTTAACACATAAAAATTGTAAGAGATACACATTATATGCATATTTTCAATAATGTAACAGAAAGAATAATTCAACAAATCATGTATACTTAATCACTACTTATAAGAGAAGAGTTAAAATAATCTGAAATGATTTTTTGAAAGGAAAAAGTTTCAAAAATGGGTTATAGTACATAGCAAAATAAAATTTGTCTTCAGTAATTCAACTGGTACTCCATTAACCTGTGTTCACAACTTGGTTATGAATTTATCTTTCATAGGTGGGAAAATACTAGTATGCTTTGGTATAATTATAGGAATATAATCATTTATAAAGTTTTTTCAGTTTATTCTGTCTGCTTATAAAATAGTACCCAAGCACAGAATTCTTTCAATTTATGTGCAACATATTTAAATTGATGGAAGTAAATGGTTATGTAAAAGATAATAAAGAACTGAAATTTAGTTTTCATAGTCAAAGTTGTTTCCTAAACACTGAAACATCCTATGTCTAGAATATTTATCTTAAGTTAGTACTAACAAGTTCAAATTGTAAATCGCAAGACAATTTGCAAAGAAAGTTCACCGTTTTCTGCCCTCTACTGTTCAATTTTGGCAACTTAAGTTGTTTCTGATGAAACAATGATTTACAATTAAAAAATAGAAGAAATTAAATACTACTAGCTTATTAGTTGTTTTCCCTGTTAGTTGGTCAATTATTGCTATTGTTTTCTGTGTGTTTAAATCTAATTTTTAGCATCGTGGCTGAAAACAACCGTTATACATAAAGTTTTAATTTTTGTTTTACCCCAGTTTTGTTTTAATATAAGAACAATATATCATTTCATTAAAATTTTTCCTTATAAGGATTTGAAATATGCTTACCATTTTTCACAGTTTTATTCATTTTTTGTTGTTCTACAATAAAACCCTTGTGCATAAATGAACCCTGTTGTGTTTGGTTAGGAAGGAAAGGGTGAAATTTTGGACTGTCAGGACATTCTTCTAGCTGTCTGCATTATCAAAACTTCATTATGAATGCTAGTGCCATAGTTCTTCTTGGCAAAGCCTGACCCACATGGAGGTCACCACTTCCTTTCCAATTTATCCACTGGAATTTTGAAAATGCAGGACTTCTGACAGGTGAGGGCAGTTCAGCATTTAAGAAAAAAAGCTTCATGCCCCTGTCAGCAGGAGCTAGAGGAAAAGAAGCTACTATAAAAGGAGCCCTGCTCCAAAGGAAGGCCTATCTGTTGAATATACAGAGATATGTGTTTGAGGGAACTTTGTTTCTGTTTAATATAAATAAATTATGCTGATATATTCAGATGAAGATAATATTAGTTACATTTTATTAAAAATTATTGACCCAAAGATCAATTTTATGACTTCAGAATACATATCTAAAAGCTATGTGTGTGTGTGTGTGTGTGTGTGTGTGTGTGTGTATTCATATGTGTGTATAATGTCCTAAAATGGAAAATAAATATTTTCACTTTAGGTTTAATGAATTTGAGATATGAACTTTTATTCATTCTGGCCATATAGGTAGCAATAAAATACCAGATATATTTATTGGAACACAGTGTTCTCATTTATTACTCTATTTAGCAAACTATTAAACAATATTCCAACTATTGTACTTGATACAGTGGATAACCAAGATTAAAATCATGTGACAAAAGCAATAAAAGGTCAAAAAGAGACAAATCACTAAGGCAGTCACACATTATTCTGGAGTTCACAGAAAGATGATGATCATCAAAAGCTGATATTGGCTGAGCACTTATAGCTCAAACCTATAATCCTAGTTAATCAAGAGGCTGAGATCACAGCTGAAATCCAGCTCAGGAAAGGAAAGTCTGTGAGACTCTTATCTTGTTATCTCCAATTAACCAGCAAAAAAACTGTGCTCAAATGGTAGAATATTAGCTTTGGGGATGGGAGGAAGGGGGAAGCGCAAAGTCAGAAAACAGGCCCTGAGCTCAAGCCTCAGGACAGGCACAAAAGAAAAGAAAAAAGAAAAAAAAAGCTGAAACTGAATAGAGTCTAGTAGAGTTTATTTAAAGCTGTGATTCTGCACAGGAAAACAGTATATAGAAATGCAATGGAGCACTAGCCTTGAGCAAAAGAAATTCTGGACAGAACCCAGGCCCAGAGTCTAAGGCACAGGATGGTAAGAAAAAAGCAAAAAAACAAAACAAACAAACAAAAAACACCAGCAAGGCAGAGATCCCAGCAAGGCAGGTAGTGACAGAATAAGCAAAACCAAGTACACACACACACACACACACAGTGTTATATGAAAAAAGGAACCAGGTTGAAGGTTAAAAGTAGGTGAGGTTTCTATTTTTTATTTGAGATTAAAGTTTTTGGAACTGCTCTAAAGAAACATTGAAAAGAGAGAGACCATTAAGGAGGCTATGTTTCTGGATCAGGTTATGGCAGCAGATCAGGTTATGGCAGCCAGAATTAATAGAGAAAAGGTACAAATGATAATGAAAGTTGCTTTCAGGAAATATTTATGATGGAAACTTAGGAGAACTTGTCAGTGAACTTGAATATGATGAAGGTAAAGGAGATGAAGAAGCAAAGATCAGTTCCTTAGCAAAGGTTGAGGTTCAACAAGATGATTGTCTCACAAAAGTAATTGGAGTACAAGGGAAAGAAAATTTGAGGCTAAGTGATGAAATAAGATCTCCAGATATTGGGTTTAGAGTTGATGAGATAAAATCACTGAACTATTTATTGTTAGATCAAACTCTGCTCCTCAGGAAAGAGGCATCATGTAGCAACTAATTCTTGAGACTCATCAGCCCATGTGGTTCCATATGACAGTTACTATTTCATTAAAAAATGTCAGACA